AATGTCTACTAGTGATCTGTATAGGGCCTAATTTTTCTAACACGGTCAGAAAGATTTATAAAAAAATATATCCGGCATTTCCCAAACGAATTTATTTTTATTTGTTTCGTAAATTACTATACATTAGTATAATATAGGATTTAAGCCAAACTTATATTTAAAGTGTAATAACTTTCCCAGTACTCGTCCCAATCCAGGATTGTACAAATATTAAAAAATATAATGTCTATCAAAAAAAATTTAAAAGAAAAAAAGAGCAATTTTTATTTTATAGCCATTTCCGGTTTTCTATTTCCGGTTTTCTATTTCCGGTTTTCTATTTCCGGTTTTCTATTTCCGGTTTTTGGTAATAGACTTTAAAATAAAATAAATTTTATATCATAATAAAGAGCTATTTTAGAGCTATTTTATAAAATTTAAATCATGTATTTAGCTTAATTACATTTTGAGATATTTAAAATTAAATATAGTGTATTTTGGAATTTCCACCTTTAAGGCGATTTGAAAATTAAAATTTTTGATTTTTAAGTTAGTGTATATACTACCAACATGCAAATTTTTAAAAAAATCGAAGGGGGTCTGGTTGAGAATCGACTTTTTTGGTTTTAATATTGAATACAACATATACTAGTAAAAAAAATCCCACGGATTAAAAATAAAGATTTTCAGGCTCCCATGAGGCCCAAACAAAATCTTGTATATAGGAACTTCTTTGAGCCCTAAAAATATATTAGAAGGCCTATTATTAAAATTATTGAAAACAATTATATTTTAATAAAAGAGTAAATGCTAATGCTAGTTATTTTAATACCTTATTTATTACTAACTTAGCAACATATTTCATTTACTCCACGCTCATTAATTATGGCAGTAATATTGTTTATCTTTTTATTTTTACAAGCCAAAACCAAAAAATCATATAAGCAATTATAATTATAATAAATTAACTATTTACTATTTTCTATTAAACCAATATTCAGTGCAATTAAATTAGTTATCTTTAGCAAGCTACTTTCTCTATGCCAATTATTTCTTCAATTATAATAAATTTTTATAAAAATACAAGAAAAATTATATTTACAAACAAAAATTTAGATATATTAACTTTTAAGATGTTTAAATATTTATATATTAGAAGTTGTAAAAATGTCATTAGTATTGGAAAATGTGTGAAATGCTTTTACCAGATAATATTTGAATAGATAACGCAATATATCACCCAAAGATAGGTCGCAAGAAAAATTCAAATGAGCGTCAGCACTCAATTGGGTCTAGTGATATCTTCAGTATTGAAATATTTTACGATATAATAGACAAAATCGGGAAGTTTGTAAACGATTTTTGAAAAATCATGAATAATAACCGATTTTAATATTTTCTTCCAAATAATTTGAAGAAATTAAGTGCCGACATAACGGACTTGAATAGAATCTTTTTTTAATCAAAAGTGGCTAAGAGAAGAACTAATTTCCTTGCAAGAATTTGTAATGTTTGATCAATGATCTAAAAAAAAGTATGGAAGATAAAGGTGAATATTACGAAGTGCTCCTATGATTTGGAATAGCCTCATAATATGCATATCTCAGCATATACAAATCTTTACATTGCATATGAATATATTACATCATCTAACCAAATTAATTGTGAAAGAATATTTAATAAGTTAAAAATTATTAAAAATAGGATGCGGCAGTCAAGACTATCTATAGGCGTTTTTAGATTTTTTATATGCGTAATAATTCGGTTCGGAATTAATATAAAATATGTTAAGTTAAATAGTTTGCATATGTAAAATATAATCTAAGCAGGCGCTTACTAAGGAATTTGCTAAGAAGGGGAGAGGGATAATTATGTATATTTTATAAAAGACATTGAAGTAGTTATTTAGAATATCTTAATTTATTTAAATTTATAAAGACTAGTAATATAAAATATTGACAATTTTTTAATAAACAAATTCAAATATAAATTAATTATAAAATATTAAATTATATAATCGTATAAAGAATTTTTTAAAAAAGAGTATTTTTTTAAGCATTTAAAATTTGATATATTAAATTTAAATTATATCGTAAAATATTGAAAAATATTCTAAACGTTTTTAAAAATTGGCTCAAATCGTGCTATTTAACAATACTACTTCTCGTATTTTTTTATTCGTGTTGGAGAAGAAAATGTTATTTCATTGGTAGAAAAATATGAAAGATTTTATACTTTAATATAGTCTAAATGTCTTTAACATTACGCGAAACATCTTTAGTATTTTTTTAAAACTTTTATACCATAGTTTGCATTCATCTATTAATGCATCATAGGGTACTTTAACATTCTCACAATAAAAATCTGTCAAATATTTAATGTTTCTCTAAAGATTTGAGATAGATTCGAAAGAATTTTGAGGTAAATATTTGCAAACTTGCAAGTGCTGCCTGATTTATTAAGAACCATTTATTCATTTGAATTATAAAAGTATACAAGAAGAGGGTGATTAAGATATTTATTTTAGTATTCATTTTATGAAATTCATATCTTAATTTGTCTTAAATTCCTTAAGTTCTAAAGTTATTCTTATTGTCTCAATCAAATAGATCATATTTTTAAATTTTACTTTAATTCTGCAGTGAAAAAGTTTCAAATGATTTGGGGAATTTTAAAATAGAAGATAAATATAACGTCAAGGAAAACTTGAAATCGATATTAATATAATAAATTAATGTATTTATTTGTGCTGTGAAATGATAAAAAATATAAATTGGAATAAATATGTGATAATAAATAGGACTCAGTAATAATTTTGAAAAATATTTTAGCCGGCATCTAGATTTTTTGGATTAGGGGAGGGAGTTGTCCACCCCCCCCCCCCTCACTGCATACTAGTCGAAATCAAGGGTAGGCAAAGATAATATGCATAATGACATTAGTCTTAATGACATTAGTCTTTTTTAGTATTGTATCCACCTTAAAAGTAACCGAGGGGAGGGTGAATATAACTCCTTTCGGAAATTTGTAAGTTCTCGTAAATAGCATTTTAATTTTCCCCTAAGCACTCCCAACCTTCCCTCTCTCTCCCTCGAAAATGTATAAAAAAATTATTTTTACAAAAAAGTAGGAAAAATTACTCTTTAAAAAATGTAATATAGCCAAAGGCAGCAATTGGAATTAAGACAATTAAATTTATGGCCAAAAATCAACTTAATAATATCAACCCCTCCCCCTAAAAATCTGGAATAAATTTTTTTAAAATACTCTAGTCAAACATATTCAATTATTACAAAATGCTGACTGTATGAATGGTTATGAATAGTTGGAAGCATTAGCAAGCAGGGTTTCTAATTTAAAATTTTATAAAGGTTTATTTCCATTTAGGTTTTGAAGAAATTCATAATGGCTAGGTTTTATTTAGAATTTATAACGATTATTTTGGGTTCATTCAGGTTTTTAAAAATTTGATTTAAAAATAAAATAATCATATACCATATGTATATTAATCCTAGAGAAAAACCTTTTTAATATTTTTATAATTCCTAATTTAATTTAATCATGAAGATTATTTCTTATCTAATTAACTAATATGCCTAATCTCTACTAAAATGATATATAAAGTAAAAACAATAAACTTGGTATTGATTGATATAAGTGTAATGGCGATTTTATTGTATAAAAAATTTAATTTGAAAAGAAATCACAAATTTTAATTGCCCTCAAGGAAAATTAAAATTTCACATTTAGGTTGGATGTGTCATCGATCAACCACATATATGCATAAAATGTAGAAGGTTTCCAAAGAAAGACACTGTTTAATTGTATGTAAGTCAGGGCAGATAGGCAAGAAATGCAACGATTAATTCACTTATTAGCCGTTCTCTTACGAGAACCTGAATACCAAACATCCCGGAGCCTGCTAATTTATCATTAGATGATGGCCTAAGGCCAGATAGTTTAACTTCTCTACTTTGTCTTTAGGTAAATCCTCAATTTGGGACTTCACGTGTGTGTCTCTCCATTTCTAAAAAATGTAAATTGTAATCTGGTTGATGTATCCGAGAAAAAAAATATTCGAAATTAATAAATTATGTTTTACCAATAGTTATCTTTTCCCTTTACATATGTCAAGCGGGACTTTATTTTAAAAAAATATAGGCGATAAAATATGAGCCCTTACATCAGAACCTAAGGAATTTCATTTTTTAATACAAAATATTTAAATTACTATTTTAAAATATAATTATTTGTGTTTTTTGGGCAATTATTAGGTTAATTTTATAATGCCCTATCTATTAGCAAGTGTATTCAATTCCATTATATTCTTTATTTAGATATACCAATTGTGATAAAATAAAAAATTATTTAAAATAGAGATTATTTTAATTGTTATAAATGAAAATAAAAATGTAAAAATCGAGTAGAAGAAATAATAACTTTATTGTAAGTGAACAATTTATAATTGTCACTTTAAATTGTCATTCATATACCACAATTTAAATTAAAAACTAACCTTAAATGTAGTTCTAACTACAACAAATTGTAACCAATTCTACCCTATGTTAATGACAGCTGGGGTACATAAAAACCCACAAAGAAGTGTTGAGTAACAAAATGTAATGCCATTTCTTTTTTGAGTGTTATTTGATATATATTACTCTACTATGGATATGATTTTAAGGGCTGGGCCTAAAATAATAAACCAGGGACTAAAAATGAATATCATTATATATCAAATATTATGTTAGGTCTATATCTAATAGATAAATTCTAGTTAAGATTAAAATTAATATTATATAAAAATTTATACCTATTGAAGTTAAAATAATTTTAACTTTATATATATAATTCTGACTGAATTATAAAATTAATTAAAATTAATATATGAATAAATATGTAATGAGCGTGATAAGTATATATTACAAAAGTTGTTTATAAAATCGTAATTTTATTGCTTTATTTAGTTTCTACTTGCATTTCGAATGTAAAAATACTTTGAATAAAAAAAAATAATCAAGGGGAAAAGAAGAAAATGTTGTAGATAATTTACTCAAAAGAATGGAAATTTATGCTAGTAATTTGGAAGTTTTAGTACAAGAAAGAACTAATGCTTATGTTGAACAGAAAAAAAAAGCTGATGACTTGTTATATAGAATAATGCCACAGTAAATTTGTTTATAAATATCCTAAATTAAAAAATATTAAATTATATTCATGGACCGGGAACAGAAACATTGTGCTCTAGTTTGACCGAAAATATTGTTACGTCATGTTCGTCATTTTTCTGAACGTTCCAGGAAAATAATATCTGATTTTATTAATCAGAATTTTATTCACATTTCATTCATTTTTATTTAATATAATACCAAATCATAGAGGTAACCGGAATTTTGTCCCCTCCCCCTCTCCCCTTCTCTGCCATAAATATATAAAATTTAACACTATAATTCGAAAGAAATTAATAACTTTAGCATTTTTATAAAAATCTAATAGAACCAAAGGCGTATACACTAAGTGGACTTAAAAATCTCCAATAAAATTTATATGGGAAAAAACATACCTAATAGTGTCTCCTCCACTGCCCATTAAAATCTTAAAAAGGCCTATGTACCATCCAAGAATTAATAGTTCTTTAAAAATATAAGGATTCATATTTGTAAGATGGCGTTAGTATAAATTTGAGTGTCGGTAAAACCTTTTCAACACTAACTTGGCAACAAAATTGTCCATGGATATTCCTAATTTTAAAATAGTGATACAGCGAATTCGTAAAGTTCTGACATATAGATCTTTAAACCATCTCAATAATTTTAAAGACTACTATCTTTTCCTAATCGTTTCATATTATAGGAATAGGATAATTTATTGTCTTATTGTGTCAATCATGTTACCTTCACAATTATTTTATAAAGCATTTTAAAAATAAATAAAATTTTTAGTAAAACACTTAAAATAAACAATTATTTATAGGCATGGTAAAGACAAATTGCCACTCCATATACCAAATAATCAAATATATTTTTTAAAAAAGGAAAAACTTTAGAATAAATTTTATAACAGTGGCTGAAAGATGTGACTTAAAAGGGAACTATAAAAAAATAACGAAGTAAATAATTTAAAAAAAAGTTCGAATTCATTCAAAGGAGGAGTGTATGTTCAAGATGTTTGACCGACAGAACTCTAAATCTTCTGTCGTAGATAAAACCCCTCGTTTGGATATCTGGTGTTTGAAATTATTTTTCTCGATTTTAATTAATTTAAATATCGTCCTCAAAGATATACAAGGTGGTAATTATAAGCATGAAAATTACATTTTGAAGGTCCGAATATATTTTTCGTGAGGTTTCAACGTAATTGTAGGGCCAGGGTAAAGTGTGAATTATTTGATTTAGCTGAGAAATTTATACAAGTGTATTACAAGCTAGGGGAATGCCGTTAAGGTAATATTATCTAGTCATTTTTAAAGTATTTTTGAGTAGACCAAACTGGTTCGAGGGATAGTATGCTAGCCTTTTTGAAAAGTTTGTAATAATATAGTTGATGCTTTGTAGCGGAGTTGGGATCCGCGAGAATATTTTCAATGTCGATTATTTACCACAATCAACACAATTAGATGTCATTCCTATATTACTTAAGCAGAGTGATAGAGATTTTAAGTTGTTCCCCCTAGGGGAGTAATCTGAGGTTGAAGTTGAGTATATTGCCCCAGATATTCATAGCAGTTTAAGTTTTAAAAATTAGTTGGGGTTGACCTCAAAGTACCATTCTTAAAGAGCTAATCAACGGAAAAAGAAACAGACGAAGAATTCTAGTCTTTTTGTTAAGGGGAGATACCATTAGTCTGATATCAGTAGTGTTGTTAAACGCTACTTTTAAAAGTAGCGCGCTATCGCTACCGCTATTTTATAAAAAAAATAACGCGCTATCGCTACCGCTATCGTTTTCAAATGAGTAGCGCGCTATTAGCTACTTTTAAAAAAGGGTGGCTAGAGCTACTTTTTACGCTATTTTGATTTTTTTTAAAATATTTTTTATGTAACTTTATTTCCACAAATAAAATATTGGTATAAAAACATGATTATAATTTTACATATATATATAATTTATTTATTATTGCACTTTAATAATAATAACATTTCGGTACTATCATCCCCAAGTCTAGAGTGACGATCAGAAAGTATAAGTTTTGCCATACTAAATAATCGTTCAGCACTAGCACTTGAGGGCAACGCAGTATTAAATTTAATAAACACTTTTTATATAAAAAAAATCATCAAAAATATTTAAATGAGTATTTTTAGATTTAAAAAAAATCATCTAGAGGTTCAATAAAATATTATTATTTATTTCAAAAAAATCGTCTATGGAAGGCCGCGGTTTCGATCTTGCTATAGTATTAGTATCGTGGTTAGGTATGATTTAAGGTTACCATCAGCCTATCAAGTTGCCCTTTAGATTCAGTCAAATTAATATATGGCCAATTTAACTTGAAATTAGGATGAACGATAGCAGCTATTACATTATCATCATCATACAGATCTGGAAATCTAATTTATATAAAGCGATTGTTTTGTATTTATTATAAAAAAAAAGAAGAATACCTTTTTAATTTTCAAAATTTAAATTTATCTGAGATTTAAATTCATTTATAAAAAATATTAAAATAGCATTAAATTATGGTAAATAAAGATTTTAAAAATATAATTATTATACATAATAAATTATAATAATCAAGCAATAAATCATTATAGAATATAAAAATAAAGTTTTGACCTTTTCTCAATGCTTTTTAGCATAGACTCTACCAGTGGTTGGCAAAATTTTAGATTATTGATTCTTTTGAGCTTGGTAATTAATCTCAGTGTGGGAACATAATATCCCATGCTCTGAGGCAGCAACATATTGCATAATCTAAAAAATTAAAATGGTTAAATATAATATAAAATTATTTATTAATTAAAAATACTTCAGTATATTCTTTAATAAAAGTATGCTCCTCCACATTAAAATACAGTATTCTTATTTGATCCAATATATAAATCATTTCCATTTTTTTCTCAAAGTTTCTTAGCTTTGTAAACACTATTCCATCTTGTAGTGTTTGGTGTCAATAAATAACGTCCTAATTTTTTTTTGAAAATATCAGACATCTTAGATGACTTATTTTGTTTATTCCAAAGAGCTTGGCATTTAGAAAATGTAGATCTTGATACTCTTTTAAAATCCTCATTTAATAAAGCTTCATCATCATTTACTGTTGCAACTAAATTTAGGTTGTGGCAGAAACAACGATGGTGGCTAGATAACATAGAAGAGTTTATTGAAGATCCTTTATAATATTATAAATTTTATTTTATATTGCTGAAAAATTAAATATAAAATAATTAGGAGACATCTGATAGATTTAATATTAAAGATTATTTCATTTATTTAAAGCTATCCAAAATTCTTGCCATCAATGTCTGCCGGCAAAATATCTTGGTACGTGGAGAAAAGTGTTATTTTATAAAAGAACCATTATCCACCAAGGATAAGGATAATGGTTAAACAGTATCTATTATAAAGTTTATTATGACAATATCAGCCAATTTTCGAGATACACCTGGTGTTGATGAATCCAAATTGCTTAATTTTGTTTGAATTAAATTTGATTTGAAAGTGGATGTATCTTCTTCCATTACCCCAAAACTTTTGAGATATTTTTCAATCTCTTTACAATTTGAGGTGTGAACTTCTTCTTCTTCTTCTTCTTCTCCGTTTTATGGCGATTTCCAGGTTTACCCGGGTAGGCCAGTTTTCCCTCTGATTTTTCTTTTCCATTTTTGACGGTCCTGAGCATCAATACTTGTAAGATTCAAGCTTCTCATATCCGCCGCTATCACATTTGTCCACGTCATCTTGGGTCTTCCTCTAGGTCTTGATCCTCCTACTTCCATCATTGTGCATCTCTTTACCCAGTCATCTCTTGTCATACGTTCCACATGCCCAAACCATCTTAGTCTATTTCGTCGCATTACCATACCAATCATTTCTATACCTAATCTTGCTCGCAATTCCTTGCTAGTTTTTCTCTCTCTCAGAGATACCCCACACATCCATCTAACCATCCTCATCTCTGTTCTTTCTAATTTGGCTTCGTGAATTGCTTTCATTGCCCATGTTTCACCGCCATAAACTAAACAACTCCTCACGCAGCTTACGTAAACTTTCCCCTTTAACTTCAGAGAAACTTTTTTATTTGTAAGAATAGATGACATCTCTCTGAACTTCTTCCAAGCTTGTCTGATCCTTGCAACAACAGCAGAATCTACACCACCATCTGCGTTTAGCATATCACCTAAATAACAAAACTTATCCACTTTTTCTAGGGTTAACCCATTGCCAATATCCAGACCACCATTTTTTAGGTTATCATTATTATGTATCCCTTTCATGCATGTTTTACAAATAAAGGTCATTCTTTCTAACATCAAACTGCCTTTTTTCCCACTACATCTTTTATGTACCCATTTCTGGCATCTGGTGCATTGGATAGAATTTCTAGCAACTCCTTTCCCACATACACCACAAGGCCACTTACCTGATTCTTCTATCTTTAGATTTTCCCCACCAATCATCACCTTTGTTTTTGATGCATTCATTTTCAGGCCCTTTGCTTCCATAGTCATCTTCCATTTACTAACTTTATCCCTCAATTCTCCCTCACTGTTTGCCATTAATACAAGGTCATCTGCATATAATATCTCCCAGGGAAGTCCTTCACGCATTTCTCTAGCCACCACATCCATTACTAAGATAAATAATAATGGACTCAGCACGGATCCTTGATGAAGTCCTACCTTCACCTCAAAGCTGTCACTATCACCATGATCCGTCCGTACTGCTGTTTGTGCTCCAACATACATTGCCATCACTGCGGTAACTAACCATTCCTCCACACCGGATTTTCTCAAGGCCCATCTTGTAATCTCACGCGGCACCCTATCAAATGCTTTCTCCAAATCAACAAACGCATAATAGAGTTTCTTTTCCTTCGCAAGATACTTCTCCTGAATTTGTCTCACCACAAAAATTGCATCTGTCGTGCCTTTTCCCGATGTAAAACCAAACTGCATTTCATCAATTTTGATTTGTTCCCTTATCCGCTTTTCTAACACTCTCTCAAAAACTTTCATTGCATGTTCCAAGAGTTTAATAGCTCTGTAAGACCCACAATCTAAAGGATCACCTTTCCCCTTGTATACTGGGATAATTATACTTCTTCGCCAGTCCTCGGGAATAGTACCTTCTGTGACAATCTGATTTGCTAAATTCATTAACCATTCAATCCCTAAATCATCAGAACCTTTAAACATCTCTGATACCACCATCGTTAAACCCGATGCCTTCCCTTTCTTCATCTTTTTCACTGCTCTCCTTATCTCGTCCTTGCCAAATTTACACCCTGGACCTTCTACCTTTGCACAACTAATATTATTATTCCATTCATTTTCTTCATTCAAAAGTCCTTTCATGTAAATCTTCCAGGTGTTCTTAATACCACTACTATCAATCGTCATTTTTCCTTCCATATTTTTCAAACACTTTACACCTATCACATCCTGCCTCTTTTTTGACATCTGTTTTGCCATTCTAACCATATTTCCAATTCCATCAGCGCATTTCATTTCTTTAGCAAACTCGTGTCTTTTTTCTTCTTGAGCCTTCGCTATTAATTTCTTAGCATTTCTTTTAGCCATCTTGTAAATATCATTATCACTATTTTCTTTGCTATTATACCATACTTTGAAACACCTCCGTTTCTCATCCACGGCTTTCGCTACCTCTGGGCTCCACCACCAAGTCTCCTTATGTCTAGGCGGCCCTTTTGTCCATCCACATACCTCCTCAGTTGTCATTACCCAAGCTTTCTTCATGGCTTCCCACTTGTCATTCACCCCAGATGCTTGTGCCACCTCCGCCTCCCTAATCGCCAATGCCATATTGAATTGACGTCTAGCATTCTCCTCCTTCAATTTCCAAACCTTCAGCCTTGGGACAAACTTTCTTTTAGTGACCCTGGCACCTTTAAGAGTGAGATCTCCTACAACTAGTCGATGCTGATTTATACATTCCTCTCCCGGTATCACTTTCACATTTTTTATTATACATCGATCACATCTCCTTAATAACAAGTAATCCACAACACTTTTGGTACTACCCGACTTATAAGTCACCAGCTTCTCTGATTCTTTCTTAAACATTGTATTACAAACAATCATATCCATAGCATCACTAAATTCTAAAATCCTCTCTCCTTCCAAATTTCTCATGCCATAACTGAACCCTCCATGTACTCCTTCATAACCCTCACTACTCGCTCCCACATGTCCATTCAGATCGCCAGCTAGGATAATCCCCTCTTCATTTGCCAGTCTCGATGTCACCCCCAATAGACTGTCCCAAAATACATCTTTCTCTTCTTCACTTCTTCCAACCTGAGGAACATATGCCGAGATCATATTATATAGCTTTCTACCAATAATCATCTTGATAACCATTATCTGGTTGTCTAGCCTTCTCACTTCGACTACTTTGTCTACCAATTTCTCCGCAACCAATACCCCAACTCCAGCCTTACCATCATTACCTCCTTGCCAAAAGAATTTATACTTTTCGCTAGTCTTGCCAATCATTCTGGTCCCATTTCCTTTCCATCTAGTCTCCTGTATGCAGCACACATCTATATGTCTTCTGTGCAATACATCGACGACTTCTCCCGCTCTTCCCGTCATACTCCCAACATTCCATGTCGCGACCCTAACTCGATCACCCGTAAACTGGTTTCTCCACTTTTTATTAGGTCGTTTATGGCCGTCATAGGTTTCATTTTCATGAATAGTGGTTCCACCAGGTTTCCCATCCTTCTTTTTGTCGTAGGCGGATGAGGAGGCCCACGGGGTACTTTGGGCTGTACCCCGCCCATGCTTTGTTGTAACCATAGGGAAATTTTTGTAGCATGGTTTTTACAATCGGATGCCCTTCCTGACATCAACCTCTTTAAGTGGTTTTTACACCCCGTCGAGGAGACGGTGATCCTATTCTAGACCCAGATCACAGGGAACCTTTTAGACCTCCATTTGCCGCCAAAAGACGTTGCCACTCCCCCGCCACGATGAGGCTGAAGGTAGGAGTCTAAAACTATAACAGTAATACTTAGAATAAAAATTATGTAGGAGATAATTACATAAAAATGATTGAAATAACTATTTTAAAATATTTAAAATAATTTAGATAAAATTTATGAATATATAAAAAAAAATGATTGGTCTTTGATTTAAATTTATTTTAAAAATTAAAGATTAACCTACACATTGATATTAAATTTGTTTAATATATTACCTTTAAATGTTTTTTCAAATTAAAGCTGCTTGTATGATTTGAGGATAAAATTTTGCGACACATCTTGAATCGAAACCGATATCCAGTAGTAATTTTTTCTTCAAAATTAAAGTATTTTTTGAATTTTGGGAAAGGATAATCTATAATTTTCTCATTTTCCAAAGAAATTTCGCTATCTTCAACAATCTCACAAATTTTTAATAACTAGATTTATAATGCTAACTAGATTTATAATGTATATTTTAAAATATAAATTTAAATTTCAAAATTAAATTAAATAAAAGGATTATAATTTTAGATTTAATAAAATATATTTTAATAATTTTTAGATGTATTTATTATGTAAAATTGAAAGTAGCGAGCTACCGATATCTCTATTTTCTAAAAAAAGTAGCCCGTTAAAGCTACCGCTACTGAAAAAAGTAGGGCGCTATTTTAACAACACTGGATATCAGATAGTGGCAATTTATGTTCCTGGTATCGGGGCTAATGTTAGATCGTAATTTAGGATAAGCGATTGGAGGTTGAGAAATTCATGGGAGGAAGGATTAGACGATGAGAAGGCCAATATAGATAGGCGCAGAATGTTCCGATTAAATAGGGGAATAACTCTTAAAATTTTGTTTTGTTCCAAATTTACACAATTTGCTTGCTAAACCTTTTTTTTCCAGGCCTTTGATATTATTTATTATTAAAGCTTGTTCTCCTATTATGCCATTTTAACTTAAAATCTTAATTGCAATTTATTAAGATCTGTTGCAGAAAAATTGAAATTAGGTTTAGTGGTTGAACCCGAAACTTATGAAAAGGTAACCATTTATTTTAGCGATATAGTTGGATTTACATCATTATCTTCAGAAAGCACGCCTTTTCAAGTTTAAAGAAATTTATTTATAATATCTTAAAAAATGTTTTAAGATTGTGGATTTCTTAAATGATCTATATACCTGCTTTGATACAATAATTTCATATTTTGATGTTTACAAAGTAAATTACAATAATAATAAATATTTATTTTAGTAAATTTCAATTTTTAATTTCATTTTATAAATATTAAGTATTTGATTCGTATTTTACATCAATCTAATTAGCTATTTAAAATTTAAATTTATAATTATGGGTTAATTTGTTTGAACTATTTTTTAATAGGACACTAAACTTGAGGGGCTTCGTTTCCAAGCCCCTCTGTGCAGGCCTGCGAACCAATTATATATGTTTATAAAGAATCTTAATTTTAAATCATTCCTATATAATCATTCAAAAGATTGTTTGGTTTAGTAATATAAAAAAATAGACACTAATTGAATATCAGGCCATTTCAGCAAAATTTTTATCCTGAAACATTATGCCGCGAATTTTCGTTCTTTGTGAAAATCATTGAGAGCGAAGGTTTACGAAACTAATTCGGCAAATTTTACCACAAAATCTTTACGGCGGACAATTTCGTCAACCCATTATCTAAAATTTATTCCTGCGAAACCTGAAACACAAACAATTTAAAATGTATATGTCGTAATTTTTAAAGGAATCAGAATCCGGGATCATCACGGGTTTTAAAAGGATCCCAAGAATTCAATTTTTAAAGGATAAAGAACTATACGGTATTATCACGTTTGAACCATGATATTGAAGAATCTTAATTTAAAACGCTTACGCGCGTTTTGCTTTAATTTTTTAAAATAAATTGTTATTTTTTTATTTTCAATGTTGTTTTTTTGGCCTTATGAAATAAGATATGTCTAATATAGGGTATCAATAGATAACTAATCAAAAGATCTATCTGGATGTCATCTCTCTCCCTTAATGGGCGAGTCAGGTCTGGGGGGTCAGGAATATTTTTATTAAAATATAATATCGATATGGGTATCAAATAATAGCTAATTTTAATATCTTTTGACTGAAAGTCATCATTCTTATGGGTATGACTTGGTCTGGGAGGTAGATGGAGGTGAGGGGTGGGGGTGTAAAAATTTTTTTTGGATATGGGTATCAAATAAAATGTAATTAAAATATTTTTTATCGTAATAACAATAATCACTCATAGAGGGCGGGTCTGGGTCTTGGGGGGTCAGGAATATTTTTATCAACTCAAAATATCGATATGAGTATCAAATAAAAGCTAATTTAAATATCCTCAGATTAAAAGTATTCATTTTTTGTCTTTATAAGTATTACTTGGTCTGGGGGGGGGGGGTGTAAAAAATAATTTTTTTTGATATGGGTATCAAATAAAAGGTAAATGAAAAATTATACTCTAAGTAGACGGGAAATCTTAGGTGGTCAGAATATTTATATAAACACAAAATATTGATAAAGGAATCAAATAAAAGATATTTTAAATATCTTTTGCCTGAAAGTATTTATTATCTTAAAGAGTTGAATTTGATCTGAGAAGGGGGGGGGGGGTAAAAATAAAAAGTTATATGGATATCAAATAAATACTAATTAAACAATCTTTTAATTATAATAATTTTTTCAAGCTAAGCGGGCATCTTAAAATGTAATGTATATTATTATTGACGCAAAACATAAACATGGGTATTAAATAAAAGTTTAATACAAAATATTTAGACTTCAATATTAAATATCATTATAAGCAGGGGTTAAATATAGTCAGTGCTTTTTAAAAACTCATTGTAGCCTAATGATAAAATTATTTGCTAACAACTTAATCTAATTTGTAATATTTTTAAATCTCAAAATTTTGACTATATTTGAAACTAACGATTCACAAATTTTAAAATGACAATATAAATTTTTCTTATTGCTGTTATAAATTATTACACTTCTTTATAAGCTAATCATCTCTATTATTATATTTTTTTCAAGCCATATAATCAACACATATTTTAATGATTTTGATAATTGAAATTTAAAATATAATTTTGAACAATTATTTATAATTTACACAAATAATATTTAAGTGACATTTTATGGAAGAATTAATGCCATTTTTAAATCATTGGCATCTCTTATTGTGCAACATTTTTGGCAATTGCAAATTAATTTACAATTACCATAAGAAGATGCACTTCTTGATGCTGTTATTATGGAGATGGTCTTATTAGGAATGGTCAAATTGTTAAATTTTATTGATTTATGAACATTCGTTTTTAAAAATGAGGAATCAATTTTTCCCACATTAGTTTCAACCCATAATTTCTCGCCTCCATTTGGATAATTTCGGCTTTTATATTTTTGGGGCATCGATTTGATCTATCATTTTTATTTATTGGGATCAGTACGTGATCCCCATTAGAAAATTTTATTTTTTTAATTTAATTTTTGTAAACATTATCTTGCTTATTTCTATTTAATAAATATGCAATAAACGATGGCAGTCTAGCTAAAATATTTTCGATGCTATTGCCTATAGAGTTTGTAGTATTTTTATCTTTCCATAATATTGTGTTGCCAATTTTATATTTCGTTCTCTCCGAAAGAATATATTCAATATTGTAAAATGATACGGACCCGCCCTCTATGAGTGATTATTATATTTACAATAAAATAATATCTTAATTACCTTTTATGCCCCCCCCCCTCTATCCACCCTCCAGAACAAGTCATACCCATCAAGACAATAAAAGAATAATTTCAATCAAAAGATATTTAAATTAGCTTTTATTTGATACCTTATCGATATTTTGTGTTGTTATAAATATTCCTGACCCACCTAAACACGCCAGGTATGTGTGATTATTATTATTATTACAATAAAAAAATATTTTAGTTACTACCCATATCAAAAAAATTATCACCCCCTCCCCTTCATTTACCCCCCAGACCTAGTCATACCCATCAAGACCAAGAATGGAGACATTCAGTCAAAAGATAATAAAATTAGATACCCTTATCGATATTTTATTTTGATAAAAATATTCCTGACCCCCCAGACCGGACTCGCCCATTAAGGGGGAGAGATTGACCTCCAGATGGATCTTTTGATTAGTTATCGATTGATACCCTATATTGGACATATCAAAAAAAACATTGAAAATAAATAAATAACAATTTATTTTTAAAAAATAAAGCAAAACGCGCATTATCATGACGTGATAATACCATATAGTTATTTATCCTTTAAAAATTGAATTCTTAAAGGGATCCCTTTAAAACCCGTGATGATCCAGAATAGTTCTGATTCCTTTAAAAATAACGACATATACATTATATTATCGCATATTTGATATCTCGAACTTAAATCTCGAATATTTCTTATTAAATTTTTATAGCGAACTTATTATAGCTTTTACCTCTATTAGCTGAACTGTCATTGTGGCGAGAGATTGCCGCGAAATAATAAATATATTACGAAACCAATGATTAATAGAAAAACAATACATTTAATAATAATTTACCCGCATAAATTCTGAAATCATAAACGCGAAATGTGAGTTGGCTTAAATGCAATTTATATGTGAAAAAAAACTAAACAATTTCTTTCTGATCTCCTTTGATCATGATAATAAGTATAGAGGGGGTATTCAGTTTTTTACCCCAACAAAATTATCCTTCAACCTCCAACATAAATTATCCTTCACCTTACAACATAAATTTTGAAAATTTTAAAGATGGGCTTCATGAAAGTAAAAATACCGAATTTTCTTCCAATTTTTATTCTTTTTACCCCCCATCTACCTTCAGGCCAGGTTCAATCCATTAAAACTAAGTATAATTACTATGGTTTGAGTAAAAATAAATTTAAAGCTTTTACTTGATAATACCAATATTATTTGTTATAATATTACTGATCACTTATACCTAATATTTAATTTTTAAAAAATTCCCAGGCAAAGTACAAAGCCATAATAATTTTAAAAAATTCTTCCAAGCCCAATGAAAGATCATAATAATTTTGGTAGTTGAGAACTGAAATAAAGCATTTAAATAATCATAATGAATTTAAAAATACAATCAAAATCAGATTTTCATGGGCCTTGGTTTTTTGATCAGGCCGAACCTAGGCCTGCAAAAAAATTTGTTTTAGGCCATTGTCTGACCCATAGTTAATAATAAAAAAATTCTCAAGCCTCCAAGCTCATAATAATTTTGAAAAATTTTCCCCAAGCCTGGCCAACCCATAGTAGTTTTCAAAAATTTTCCCAAACCTGAAGATAGGTAAATCTCTATAAACCATATCTTTTTTTAGTCTATTTTAACTAAGCTCACCCCAACCAAGGTCAACCCATTAAGACTAAGAGTGAATACTATTTTTTTGAATGAAAATATATTTAAATTAGCTTTTGCCTGAGGGCCATATAAATATTCTGTGTTAAATATTACACTTATGCCTGATATTAAAAAAATTCCCAAGCCATGTCCACGCACTTAAATTTTCAAACTGAAATAAATATATAAAAAGTCACAATGCATTTAAAAATACCATCAGAATATGAAAGTTACATGGGCCTTGGTTTTTGATCAGGCCTTCAGGCCTAGCCCATATTTAAAATTAAAAAAATTTCAGGAATCTATTATATTAATTTTGAAAAATGTTTCTCAAGCTATGTCCAAGTCCATATTAATTTTGAAAAATATCTCCCAAGCCCAGGAAAACCTAGAATAATTTTTTTCCCCTTAGATCCAGAAAAATAGGCCTGATGTAAGGGAAATCTTTCTAATATGTATATTTTTTTTTGCCATTTTATATTATTGGAAAAATTTTGCAAAATTATAATCAAATGAAGGGGAAATATCTGATTTACCTATCATTCTACTGGTTAGCTCCTGCTCCTGGTATTTATAGAAATTCATGAATACATATTAAAGTATCATGCTGAAAATATGTTTATCCTAATTTAAATTTTAATCAAACCACCACCCTTCCAAATGATTTATTACTTAGTTACAAAATATAAAATTAAATTTAAGACATTGTTATTAAATTATAATAGAAAAAATAAAAAGTTTTTCTAAGTTAACAAATAATAGGAGGTTAACTTTAATCATAGTCAAATTATATATAAGTAAAACAAAAAGGTTATACATTTAATCAAAAATGTTATATTAAGTTATGAATAACATACATTCTACAATTATGAAGTTATGAGAAAATATACAACACTATGGAATGTATGTAGAAAGGCCAAATTTTCAGAAAAGATAAGAGAGATGCAAATATTTACTTTTGCATTACCTAATTAAAATATATCAATTGATTTAAAAGATCTGACGTATTTGGATAATTTATTGATTGTAATATTATTTTATGGTTTCGAGTAGATTTGTTATTTTATTTATTTTAGATAGTATTATTTTATGGTTTAGTGTAGATTAATTATATTATTTTATTTTAGATAATATTATTTTGTTGTTTTGAGGTTTTTATGTTTTTTTATATATTTTTTTTTGGCGCAACGTATATATAAAGAGCAAAGAACAAAAAAATAAATTATCATTTTTTTTGTGTGGAAAATTATATTTTTGTGTGTAAGAAAAATAAATAAAGAAAGGAAGAATCAAGTAAAAATATATCAAGTAAAAAAACAGGTGTGTTGAAAAATTAAATAAAAGGATATATCAAGTAAAAACAAAAATACATTTATATTTAAAATTAAATTAATTAAAAGTGAGAACTAGAAAAAGATCTAATTTTGCAGGACTATTTATTTTTATGTGTTTACCATCTAATGAGCCATGGCAGTTTGGAAATCCATGTTTTTCAAAATATAAAATGTTTGATTTTCTAACTCTAAAATAATTAAAAATTTACTATAATATAAACTACTATTTCTGAAAGTGCCACCATCACATCTGTATATATAAATTTGTAATTGCTATTAGCTAAACCAAGCAATAGATTTAAAAGATCTATAATTGAAAAAAATGGCAGATTTTGCAGGACTTTTGATCTTTATGTGCTTACCATAATGATCCAAGGCAGTTGGGGAATCCATGTTTCTCAAAATATGTGCAATCTAAAATGTTTGATTTTCTAACTCTAAAATAATTAAAATTTTACTTTAATATAAACTATATTTCTGAAAGTGCCATCATCACATCTATATATTTAAATTTGTAATTGCTATCAGCTAAACTCAGCAATAGATTGAAGAAATTCGCTATATTACAAATCACATGGGAATTACTATTGGCTAAAAACTGCTGTGATATCATTGGACAATTTTAAAAGAATACTATAAATATGATTGATGTTTTTTGAGGATTATTATAATAGATACTTAGAATTTTTTCCTTACTTATTGAGGATTAAAAATAATGAAAGCTATAAGAATTTTTACTAATTTTTTAAAAAATCAGAGACAATTTTACTAAGTAAAAATTTTAATCTTATAATGTTTTTATCTAATTTTTTTGTGTTATCTTTTTGTTTATTTTAAATATTTTTTTAATTTTAATTATATATTTATGTTTCATATTTTTTGCTGTTTTTCTTAATTATGGTGTAAATAAGAAAAATGGGTAAATCACTAATAGGGAAATTTTTAATATTATTTATTTATTTTTAATATTTTTTTATTAAAAAATAATAAATATGCGATTTTTTGATGTAATAATAATTCATAGTTTCATTACTCAAAAGTTTTAAGAATTGCATATTTTTTCGTTGAATTCGCGTAATTTTCAATATTTAAAAATTGCGGTATTGGTTAAAGATTTTTTAATTAATAAATATTAATTTAACTTATGATTTTTTTAAATCTAACAAATATGTTTTTTTCCCTTTTATGATAAATTTTACCGAGATCATAATTTCATATACAAGAAAGAACAATGGCTTTTTTAAAGGGTGTTGTTATAATAGCATGAAAATGGAGAAAAATTCAGCATCTTATAGATGACGGACAAATGGAAGGAGTAAATCAAATATTGATAAATCTTAATCAATCTTAATGAAAATGGATATGATCAATACTCGGTCAATCACAGCAGAAACTTTATAGAGCCAAAAGATATATTGACCCATACTCAAAGTATTGAGCGTTTGTGGTGGGGTCCTTAGGCGAGCATCCCCTAAACTGGAAGAAAATCTCTCATTTATATATATGTGTCCTTAAAATTATATATATATATATTATCATTGTTTATATAATATGTTTGTCAAATAAATTGATTAATTATCTAGTATTTGCCCTAACTTAGTAGTATCCAATATAGCATACGCCTTTTCAAAAATTTTAAATACTCCATTTTTAATGTAGTAAAATTAAAGAATTGTGATTTCACTTAAAATATATTTAATATTTATTATTTTTTAAAAAATAAAATATTAAAAATTAAAATAAATTAAAAAAAAATAATATTAAAAATTTCCTCTAGTTTCAGTGACTTACCAAAAAATGAATCTTATTGATTTAAGATCTCTTATTTTTTTAGAAATTATTGTCTTTTATCTGAACTTTGGAAAATTAAACGTGTTAAGAAGAGCAAATTTATTTATATTTTAAATTTTAATTATTCGAATAATATTAAATTGAAAATCAGAATTTGGCAGTCTTCAAATACTTTAATTTCAGAAACAGGATACAAGTCTTCTCTTTATCTTTCTGAAATTTTAAATAAGATACTTATAATCGCATCCAAGATACTTTATAATCATGAGAATTTTGTATCATTTAATTTTCTTACAGATTCAGTCACATTTTTAAATTTTTGTTTCAAAAATTCGATATTCAATTATAACATTTTTTTTATGTGAATTTTGCATAAAATTTGCTATTTTTCTTTCTTATCTTTATATTTTAATGATCATTATAATAGCTTCCAACTTTACTATTATGGGCAAATTAGATAATTCAAATGTTCTTGTTTATATTTATATTAATCATTGTATTAAAACAATCATCATCTTATATATAGGGTGAAATAAAACATATTTATTTTTATTTAATTGTCCAACCTTTTGGACTGCCCTTTAGGCACAGTAAATTTGGGTAACTTTAATTTGTTAATGAATAAAAATTATTTTATAATGATGCCTATTTAGTGTTTTAGATCAGGGCTGACGGAAGAAATATTTCTGGTCAAATATGGTCAAAAATGTTATTGGCGAATAAATTGATTTAACTAATATTATAATTTTATATTAAATTATAAAATTTTCATAATAAAATATTAGAATTTCATTTTAAAATATAAAAATAAGAATTTTTCTCATTATTAATTTAATTGGATCTATATAATAATTTTCCTAAGCATGATTTGAGAAAATTATTAATTGCCAATTTATATTACATTTTGTACAATTATTCAAAGATGGACATCGCCAATAAAATGTAAGGAACAAATACAAATATGCAAAAAAGTTCTGAAAGCAGCTGTTGAAGAACGAATATTATTTCGAAAGAAATTATCAATAATATAATGAAGAAATATTTGAACGAAAAATCGATAATTTTTAACTATTCTTTAACATTTAGCTATCTTATTGTTGTACGTGCAAAGGAATAAATGTATTGGCCCACGTAAAAAAAACGAGATGCTTAATTTTGAAAACACATAATTCAAGCACGCTATGATTTTATAATTTCTACATCTGAAGAAAAAAATTAAAGATAAGTTTTAAAATGAGAAAACAATCCAAATACATGTGCTCACACTATTGATTATTTATTGGATTCTCAATATAAGGGGAGCATTTTACTAATAGTAAGTTTCATGAAGCATGTGATATAATACATGAATTAGGCATTTTAAGGTGATGATAATCAAGATATTTTAAGTGATATCATAAATTTTAGAAGTAAAAAGCGGTGGTATATTTAATAGCCAAAATATGTGGATTGCAGTAACTTTCTTTAAAAAAATCAGATTTCGGCCTCAGGTTATTGGAATGGGCTTTGCCCACCTTGAACATTAAGAGATGTGTCTAATATGTTATCTTATTAACAATTTCTAGTTATATTTCTTTTTCAGAAAGAAATTTGTTTGAAGTAATATTCATACGAAGAAAAGAAATGGACTGAAAATCTCGACAACCAAAAAATTTGTAAGGGATCATAACATAAGATTGATTAAAAATATTAAAGATAAGATAATACTGAATATAAATCAGAACACGACTCTAACATGGACAGCGAAACATTAATTATAGAAATTAAAATATATATTTTATCATAGGCGTAGCCAAGGGGGGTGGCAAGGGGAAATTATTTTATCATAGGCGTAGCCAAGGGGGTGGCAAGGGGAAATCCCCCCCCTTCAGAAATTTATCACTTTTTGTAAATATCATTTTTAGCTAATAAAAAATATCCCTCTTAGTCCTCCCCCCACTCCCTGACCCTCAAATATGTATGCATATATCTTAAATAATAATTTAAAAGAAAGAATGTAAAAGTTGATATTTTTTTATAAAACTATTCATCATAATTTATAAATTTTTGGGAAAATAAATTTATAAATATATAAAATGAACCAAAAATGTTTTTTAATAAATGGAATATAAGCCAAAGATAAGTCTTAAGACAGAAGTGAAATGTATTATAATTATTAATAATAGATCCATAAAATTACTAAATAATATAATATATCAAATATAATTTTTTATAAAGTGAGTAATTTTAATTTATTTTTCTTAATAAAAGTAAAATATAATTATAAAACTATTAATAAAATTATATCATAAATTAAAAAAATATTAAAGCACAATACATACAGTGGAATATTATATGTCGTAGATTTATAGTATATCTAATTATCAAATGACAATCAAGTAATTTTTACCAATATAGCGAATTATACATTTTACAGAAAACTATAAAATATTGATAAGGACATCAGAAAATATCTTTTAAAGACATTGTGGGATGAATAATACGAAGATTAAATTTAAATATCATTTTTACAAAATTAATAGATGGCGTTAAATAATTGAATGCAAATTGTTGCTATATTTAATAACATGAGCATTGATTAGTAAAATTTGTTAAATTATTAACTGTAATATATTCTCTAACTGTCAAATATGTCTGTAAAAGTGGAATTTTACCTAATATTTTATAACTAATTCTATATAATAGAGTAAATCAACTATATGTCTACTTACTTTTTAATAAATTTCTTATAATTGTTTGGAATAAATTATTACCATGCTTTTATATTAAGGTATATACAATACAAGTAATTTATTATATTTTTATTTTATATAAACTAATAAAAATTTATTTCATATTTGTTCCAGGCTTATTTTTTTTATTAAAATTTGTAAAAATATTTTATGACTATATATAGACTAAAGTAACCCGGCCGAATGCCCGCTTAAAAGGGGGTCTGGGGGCGAAGCCCTCAGTAATTTTTTAATCCCCCCCCCCCACACCTTTATGAAAATCCTGGCTACGCCTATGTAATTTATATTACATTCATTTTTATAAAATAAAGTTAATGTTGTCTTAAAAAAACATTTATTTAAATTTGACTATATCTGATCGTATTTGACCATATTTGAACGGTCAAATATCGGTCAGTAACCGAATCCTATTTGACCGGTCAATTGCACAACCCTGTTTTAGATAATTTTGAATAAACAATTTGGAGGAGAAATTAACCATAGAATTTAATTCATTTATAATTTATATTTCAACTGGTTGAAACATTTAACATAAATATTATGGCATTTATCTATATATTTTTATTGACTGGTTTTCTCTCCACTTCTCGTATTGTTGGGTCAAATACAGATCGGTGGGAAGCGATAATATTATTTTTTTGTGCACTGGATTATCTTGACCTTTTCTCATCGATAGTTAAATTTTTAGAAAGTATCTTGTATCTAAGATATTTTTATTTATCTAAAGAAGATACATGTACCATATATCTTATATCATTTTGATATTTTTAATAAAATACTTGAATTTGTATCTAAGATAGATTTATTTATAAAGAATCTGCATCTGTTTCTAGATGTTTTTTTAAGGAACTACCTACCTAGTTATGTAAAATTCCAGGGAAATTAAATTTTGGAGGCCCTGTAATTTTATTAAAATGCAATAAGATTGACTTATTTTTTAAATATATATATTAACGGAATCACGTGGTAGCTTCCGATATTCTATATATCATTACCTTAAGGACGAAATCACCTAATTGGCTTTTGAAACAAAATGTCCTTGCTAGATTCAAACCCAAAACTATCAAATTGCAATGCACGCACTGAACCGATTAGGCCAATCGTTACTCAAAAACAGCAAATTATTTTGTTTATAAGGATAAATTCAATAACGTTCAAAAGCTATACATTATTACTAACAATAACGTTCAAAGCTATACATTATTACCCACATTATCTCTCATTCTCAAACTAACTTACTAACTTACCAACTTACTGTGCATAATTATGATAAAAAAAGTTCAAAATATTCTTTTGGATATTTTTAATTATCTTTAACATCTTTCTTACTTTGATTATCATCACTAGATGGCTCAAAGTAAACTGATAATAATCTTAATTCTCCAATAGTGGCTAAATAAATGTATTATATAAATAATTAAACAATATTGTAAAAAATTTTTTTTAATATAATAATTGATTTATACTCGTTGTTTCATTTTAACACACATAAATAATTTATTAAATAGAGTCTAAACATTATTAAAAATATTAAAAACGCAAAATAGTTTTGTCTTTCATCGTTTCTTTCAAAAAATGTCACTTAATTTTAAAATAACGTTTTTTAGGGAAAAACACGAAACACTTCTGCTCAATTGTGAGTATTATTGATCTCTTTTTTTAAACAAAATAGAATTAATACAATAGAAAATAAATATATAAATAATAACTCCTCGGATCTTATAGGTCATGAGGAGGAGGGGGGAGAACAAAAATAGTATCTAACTTGATAAGGGTATTTAATTGAAACTCATAAGAAGCTATATTATAAAACATGACTCTGTGCCGTTACAAACTTTTAAAAATTAAATATGAATAATAAAATATTTTTTAATTCATTATCAGATTATTTTAATATAATTTGTAAAAAAAATTGATTAGGAGGAACCGAGTCACGTTGAGTACATGGGAACGTTAGTCCTCTCCAATTATAATTTAAGCTATTAATTTATAAAACTGGAAATTTAAGCCTAATAAAGATAATTAGGTCATGATTAGCTAAAAAAAGATTTGAAAAATATTTAGTATTTTAATTTTTACAAAGGAATATTAACAAAAAATAATTTGAAACTTTCTCTTTTAGAAAATCTAGAATTTTAGAAAAGTTTGGACCTTATAATCTGATAATTTCAGAATCATAAACCAAGAATAATATGATTTTGAATGATATTTTTAAAGATAGAGGTAGGTCATTGGTTATAGGATAGTTTTTGGTTCTTATTAATTATTGCATATTTATTTTGATTATACCTACAAAAATACGAATCGAATCGAATAATTTATTATTCGTATTCGTATGAATAATAAAATGATTATTCGATTCGATTCGAAAATTTTATTTACCATGAATTAAAAAAGATCTATTATAAAATTTATTTTGTAAAATTTAACTAAGGATAAAGATAAATAAATTTTATACATATATAATATATTTATATACAATGTGGAAAAATCAATATAATATTCATATCTATAATGTAGAAGATAAATCTGACAACAGCCAATTTTTCTAAAGTTTTTCGGATTGTTTAGGTTTGCCAGTCATTCTTGATGTGATGGGATTAACAGTTTATTATAATTGTATATGTTATGTGTTATATAAATTACCTTCTTCGTCCATCTCTATCATAAAAGAAATTTCTAAAGTAATGGTCTATTATGAGATAAATTAAAATGGAGTTTCAAAATTTGGCGCAATTTTCATTATTCCACTAGGAGATTTTATTAAATTGAAATAATTTCAAATAATTCTTAATAATAATATATGATTTATATATGATTATTTTCCAATATATATTAATACTATAAATTATTTTAGTCGAATAATCTCGAATAATTCGATCGAATAATAGATAAAAAATTATTCGACGAATAATATATTTTCCTTATTCGAATTCGATTCGAATTTTCGAATCGAATAATTGTGTTATTCGTATTCGTAAAATACGAATCGAATCGAATCAAATCGAATCGAATCGAATCAAATCGAATCTATCGAATAATAAATAATTCGTTTTAGGTATAATTTTGATTAAAACAATTTCTCAATCTAAAATATTAATCTTAAATTTAATAAACTTTAAATAATATTTATAAAATATTAATTTTTTTACAAGAATTCCAAAAATTTCTTAAAATCTCTAAATTCTATTAATATTTACTTAATTAATGCGTATTTTGATATTATCAATAAATTAATATATTAGCCTCTAGTAATATAAAAATCAAAATTAATTTTAAAATATATTTAAAAAATATATGTTTTTAAAACACTAACTGATTTTATGGATTGTATCGGCACTGAAAATCAAGAAAATAAGATAATTTAAAATTTTTACAATGTTAGAAGGTTTCTCAAGTGCATAAATTTTTTTTTTGAAATATATTTTTCCTAGTATTAAAATAGAATGTCTGAACCATATAAAACTTTTTTAAATTATATTTTAAAATAACAACTTTGTTTTAAAATGATATATAGGAGGTGGTGTAGATATAGATATGCACCGTTAATGGGTTATTAATATTAGTAGAAGTTTCTTTTTTTTATATCGAAAATTATTACGATATTCGATTCGTTATTCGATTCTAACTGTACAAATATGAATAAAAATATATTTATTCGAAAAGTTAGAATTGTATAAGAGTAATAATAAAATTCTTAGATGATTAATAAATAATGATATGCTATATACATGTTTTATATTTATAGATCCATATTACACTTTAGCCATATAGCAAATTTTTGATATATTTATATGCTATTTTTTTAGGTGGAAACCATTGGCGATGCTTACATGGTGGTATCGGGTGCGCCCATCTTAAATCAAAATAATCATGCGCGAGAAATATCACGAATGTCTCTTGCTTTATTGCATGCCATAAAATCATTCAAAATAAGGCACAAACCTAATATGCAACTTAAATTAAGAATCGGGATTCATTCAGGTAGGCGGAGAAACTTATAAAAATTTAATATAATTCAGGCGAAGAAACTTATAAAAATTTAATATAATTCACAAATGTTATATTGAATTTTTATTTATGACATTATTTATTTAAATCGTACCTCATTTTAGGTCCAGTAGCGGCAGGGGTTGTTGGTTTAAAAATGCCTAGATATTGCCTGTTTGGACACACTGTAAACGCAGCATCGTGCATGGAGTCCAGCGGGGAAGGTGGTTATTTTCTTTAATAAATTATCTATTTTAAATAATCATATATAAATCTATAGCCCTAAAAATTCATATCAGTTCTAACACCAAAGAAATCTTAGAACAATTTGGAAGATTTGAGTTTGAAGCTAGAGGGCCGATAGAAATGAAAGTAATATCTTAACAAATTAATTTTAAAAGTTTTCCCCTAAATTTCAGGATAAAAGAATAATTGAAACATATTGGCTTTCAGGGGAAAAAGACCAACAAAATTCTTATATTATTTATAATATTTCTGCTATTAAAAACCTTCAAAATGATGAACGACCCACTCACTCATTAAGCTCACCTTATAGAAGAACTTCGAGGAAAAGGGGAAGGAGAGGATTATCCGAATCAATTACTAAATTTGATACCGATTCAAGTTTAATTATGTTTTTTGTTTTGTTAATAGCTTCCTTCTTCACTTTAAAAAAAATATATGATGATTTAATATTTTTTAAAAAATAAAAATGAGAATTAAGACTGATATAATTTTAAGGTTCCATTTTAATTATCTTTTAAATATATAAATTTAAGGCTCTATAGATGAGAGTAAAGATGAAAATTTGGATATTAATTCGCCATCTACCCCTCTGATTATGCCAGACAATGGTGTTCCAAAAAAGAACACAAGAAATTTCTTAATTTCAAGCATATTAAAACTTCATGAAGATTTGTTTGCTAAAAGTACTGATTTTATATTAAACTCAAATGAAAAGATTAGACACAAGTCCGAACTTCAGTGCAAAGGGAGAAGTGTAAAAAGCTTAAATGAAAATAATATTAAAATGTTAATTCCATCTGGTGAGGAATCGAAAAACATAAAAAACGAAAACTTTCGACCAACATCTTCCGAATTTACTGTGATAAGGAATAATTATTTAAATGTTCCAAGTCATTCATTATAATTTTATTTCAATGATATGATAATAATAATAAGTCATCGAATCGATCTATTAAGTAAAAAACCGCAGTAAAAAAATATATGAAAGTATCATTTAATATTCTGTAAAGCTTGAAAAGTAAAGTCAATTTATATCAATAAAACTTGAAAAAATTTGTTTGTCAAATATTTTTTACAATATCTATAGAATTACAAATAGATTATATAAGCATTAGAATCATTATAATTATGTTTAGGGAGTATATTGATGGGAAGTTTGTTATACAAATCTTAATGAAAGTTTATTTAGCAAAAATATATATTGGGATTCCTGTTTTCGTGTTGGTTATAACCTGGTCTCAGAGATGGGTAATACCATGAATACTTTCTAAGCTAAATGTTTCTTATCTATCTTTTGCTTTGTATTTTTTAAAAATTATTTATAAAGATACTTATATCTGAATCTAATATACTTTATTTTCAAAAGAATCTTGTATCTTTTCTATTTTCTTGACAAAGAATTGTTGATATAATATTCACTTATTTCATATTGGTGGTTTCTTGCATTAATTTTGTTGTTTTTCTTTCTTAAAAATTTATTATTTCATGTTTTGACCAAACTTTATTGTTCTACTTGTATGTAAGGTTGTTAAAAAGCCCGATTTGGGTCTTTTAAAAACGACCCGATTAAGGTTTTAGCCAAAATCATATTTTGCACCTGGAGATTTATCTAGGTGGCAAAAAGGTGGGCTTTTTAACAACACTACTTGTATGCAAATTGAATAATTCAATACCTGTCCATATGTATTATATATTAATAACCATATTTAAATAAAAGATATATTTGTTTATTTATTTCACTGTCGAACATTTCAAAATGCCCTTCGCCATAATAGTTTTTTTTAGAAAATTTAATGATGAACCTTTGAACGTAATTTAATTTATAGTTTTTTTCTTTGATTTTTTATATAAATTTTAATTGACAAAAGTTGACGGCAAAATTGTTTAAAATTCATAGAAACATGTTGGAATACATTTATAGTAAAATCAGTTTAAATTTAAAAAAATCCAGCTCAAATTTAGTTGAAAATAGCCCATTGATGTAAACATAATGTCGTTAGTATATATTACCCAAATTCAAAAATAACAACGTTTTGGAAACAATGTATATTAAATGGTTTATTAAAATCGGATGAAATATTTTAGTCATAATTATAATATTAAATTTACATATCATTGTGCATAGATCATAGTCAAACAAAATTATCATCTTGATTCATTTAATACCGGTAAATTATAAAAATGTCAAAATTTAGAATCGACTTTATTGTGCAGAAGGAATAGATATATTTTTATATAAATATCTTGTATCTAATTTATTTAACAAAAATCTTGTATCAAAGATATTTAGCAAATATTTAATAAGATATCTACATCTAAAATTGTAAATCTATATTTAGATTCTCTTTTTTAAGGACGGGCATATTTTTAAATAAGAAATGAACAGTAATATTAGTTACTTTTGTTTTTATTTTTAATGGTAAATTTATTTATTTATTTATAATAGACATAAACATATTCCAATCAAACTATAATATCTATATATATTATAATCTTAATGTTAATTTTTATTTTTCCTATCAACTATCATCTTAATGTTAATTTTTATTTTTTCTATCAATCCTATCCTCTTAACGTTAAATAAATCGATGAAGACCATATCTCTAATGTTAAATTTTAAGAAAATTTTTTGTACATCACGGGATTCGAACCTATGACTTAACGATTTAAAGGCAAACGTTCTTCCACTCAGCCACCTTCTTTATTAAATTTTGTAATATAATCTTTCTTATATATGTTATTATTTTTCAATTAATTTATATAATTTAGATCTTATTATGTTATTTTAAATAGAATACTAACCTCACCTCAAATTATTGTAAGAATGAATATTATTAAATTTAAAATAGCAAATTAAATTATATTTAATTGTAAAATAAACATTTATCTCATATTAATTTTAGCGTAAGTTTTTATATTCAATCAAAGTAAAATTTAATAATTTTTATAAAATTATTTTTACATTACAATTTAGATTTAATAAATAAATTTAAATTATTTACCACCCCAAAATGTGGCAGTAAAATTTTTTTTATCTCAAACACAATATGGGAGCTCTGCAAATAGTATAAAATACCTATTTATCAATATCTTCCCATGCCAGAAAATTAACCTCCCTCACTAATCCTAAGTACTTATTATAATTTAGATTTAACAAATAAATTTAAATTATATTTAGCCAATTGAAAAATAAACATTTATCTCATATTATCACCCCAAAATATGCCAGTATAAAAATTTTATCTCAACAACAATATTTGAACACTGGAAATGACATACAATACCAATTTATCATTATCTACCCTACATTTTTTAATTAAAATTTTATATATTTTAGGCTAAATTTAATAAAATGAATAAATAATAACTAAAATTTGTCATTTATTTTTTATAAAAAAATGTATTTAAAAAAAAATTTCATATAATAGTTCAAGATTTTATTATACTCGTCATTCTTGACGGGTTATCAACTAGTAATATTATAAAAACCATTATGTAAAAACGGAGGTGGGACCACAAGTTCCCAAAAAACATAAATTACAATAATTATATATTAAAATGGTAATTTATATATTTTATAATGAAGAGATAACGATTGGTAAAATGTAATTTGTTAATTTTGAATATTTAATTGTTTTTTTTCTCGGCTATATCAAGAAGTTTCAGATTAAGGATTTACCTAAAGACCAAGGCCCAGAAGTTAAACCATCTGGGCTTAATTCATCATATAATGATAAATTAGCACAGGATGTTTGGTATTCGGGCTAGGTAAGAAGACGGCATAACTGTAATCGCTGCGTGTCTTGCATGTATGCTTTGACTATATATACAATTAAGACCATGTATCCCTTTGGAATCAACTAATACTTTACATTTTATGCATGTAGGCTGAACTATGTTACATCCAATACGATGGCCTATGGCTACTTTTACGAAGTGACTATGGATCCTTACTAAAAATAATTACTAAAATACTTAAATAAAGTAATCCTTGTATTTTATTATATATAAACTACAATAAATATATAATTTACAAATTAAATGCCAAAAAAAAACTAACTTCTGAGATTATTAATAATAAATTTTTTTAATATATTTATTCTTTTCATGTCAAATGAAATATATATTAATATAAATAATAAAACTATAATACAACTTGTCCTCACTTTCCATGTAAAAATCTGGGTAACAATTTACACAAAAAAATAACGAAGATTACATAATTAATTAATTAAATTAAATTTTTTCAATATATCCCTTTATATTCTATATACATATTTTTAAAAAACACTAATGATATATATTAAAAACTATTACTTATACATATGGCATGCTAAGAACTATATAAAAATTTTTTTATATTAACTGTATTTAAAAAAAATTAAATTAAATTCCAAAAAAAAATACAAATAAAAAAAAATTCTTCTATTTCCGGAACATTAATTAACATTCCTCAAGGTCATTCTGCATTCTCTGTCACTGAAATGATTCTCTGTCATTCCAATGTCCTCACTGGGTATCATGTCGCCCCGAACTCCATTTCAAATTGACTGTGTCAATTCCTGTCTCCTCAGAACTATTCGCAAATTTGTATCTTGGGGTTCTTGCTGAAGCACCTGCCACTTCCCTTTCCATCTTTCTGTTGATTGGTCCCCGTTGCTAACGATCGCGATATCGCCATAATTTGCCTGAGCGTGCCATGAACTATTATATATATAAAATATAAATAATAAAACTATAATACCACAGCTAGTTTAGTTAATATTAATATAAATCGGCAATATAAAAATATCCTCAAATCAAAAAATTTCAGAACCTTTTCTAATTTTAATAATAAATATGTTTTAACCAAGAATACGACACGATTACGACATTTTCTCCTTGTTTTGAGGGGTAAGAGAAAAATTGCCCTATAAAACTTATTCAACTAAATTTTATCAATTTTATTATGATCTTTTAAAGATATCTTCAAAATTCAATTGCCAGTTTATAAAAAGTTTCACATCATTTAATACGGAAGAAAAGACATCTCTCAATATTGCTGCTTTATAATGTCGCTTAATTTTTTTTATTAAATATCTTATTTTATAAAATATTATCTCACATTATTTTGATAATAAAAAATCAAACCAATGATTTTACTTTTCTATAATAAATATAACAAATATATTATCTTCAATAATTTTTTATTTCCTCGTTATCTTTGGGCAGTATTTTTTTGAAAAATTTTTATTTGCCTCGCGATGATTCCTTATTTGTATTTTGATATATGCATCTAGAATCCACTCCGATATCGAAGGTCCATTGATAATCATGAACATTAATTTTAACAAATTATTTAAACTTAAACTTTCTCAATTATTTACCATGTTCAATTCATAAGAAGAAAGCACCTTTCACACTCGGCAGTATTGCAGGTTAAAGTATCGACGAAATTAAGGATTTTTTGAATATTTTCATAAGGATATTGTTGTGTTTTTAATTGTTTATAATTTATCTTATCCTATGTGTGTACGGTAATCACTTATAGTGATGGGTTTTTCTTATATTACTATTTTTGTTTGTACAATATTTGTTAATAAATGATGTGTTTTTCTTATATTCTTTGTACTATATTCACTTATACCGAGCATATTTTTGATCTCATCCTCTAAAACAGTTTTCGAGATGGACGAGGACATTAAATTTATATTTATTTATTATTGTTTGATTGTAAAAGGGGGCTATATAAAGACCTCGAAAATGAATTGTGATCATTAAATAATTTAAAATTTTCATGTTTTATTTCTATGTAACGATTAATTTATTCTATATTATTTTTAATGGATTTATTTAGATAGTACTATTTAATGGCGACTATACTTAACGAAATAAAATTTTATGATTCTACTTGTCTGTGCTTAAATAGGTGGTGAGTATCCAGGACTTTGGGTAAACCACAACGTGCCCGCTAAGTCCCGTTCTTCAGTCCCCTTCTCCGACAATTCCGGCCCCACGAACTCAGTCATTCTCTCCCCCACCCCGATGGTAGGACTTGATTGTCAAAATACAACACTCTTAATCTATATATTGTCGAAGCCCAGCTATCGTTTCTTATTTATTTAATTTCTAATCTTTGGCAGATTCCTGTTATTTGCTTCTCACCAAATTGCCCATTTAGATTCTTAGACAAATTTTATTTTTGAATAAAGTATATATAGAAAAAAGTTTATAAAAAATATACCTTTTTAACACTTATTCAGCTTTAACTATCCATTAGACGGGATTGCCTAATTTCTAGAGAAATTAAAAATTGGTCTCTTATTAATCTTACTAGTTTTGAAAAATAATATAATTTAAAATAAATTTAATTTTTGAATCGAGCCACATTTAAATATTTACCTTCAAGATATTTAAATATCAGTCAATCAATAATAAAAATGGTAGGATACCCATGAACTTGCTAATAAAAATATCTTAATTTATTATTTTTTCATAGATTGATAAATCTTACTAACAACTAATTTTAAATTTGTATTTAAACATTTATTAGGTCTTTTTATTATTGTACTATTACTTGCCTGTAGTGCTGTTAAATCGGCTCAATCCTGGCAGTTTAAAAAAAAGCCTTCAGACAACAGTTTATGTTTTTTTAAAAAATCGAGTGACCCTTAATTTAAACTTCGATTGAGGCTAAGATGCTAGTTTTAGCTTAAAAATTTTCTTTTACCTTTTTTAAAGTTGGCTTAAAACCTGCAAAAATGGACTCATTATAATATTTACAAATAAATTTTTATTTTTTATTAACTTGAAAAATTTTTATAATATCTATAAAAAAATTGATGAGAGAAATCAAAATTGTTGCCTTAGTTGATAATAAAATATAAAAATAATGAAAATAAAAATATTAAAAATATAAATTTTTGTTTATCATTTCTCTGTGTCTATAAAAAATATTATAAAAAAAATCTATTTTTGCCTATATCATATAGTTATTTCATCGTCATTATCTGATACTGAAAATTCAGAATCAGATAAATTAACATTACCATGGCCAATTATAACCATATAATAAAGAGAAAAGAGATTCAAATTTAGCACCTCTATATATTAAAATAATTAGACGAGCCCCTCTTCAAAATTTGGAAAGGGGGCTAAAATTAAAAAAAATTTTAGTGCTAGTTTAGCCCCCTTCGTAAAGAATCTCTGACCTGGATATAATCTTGACCTCCAAAAGAAATCTGGCTAGTATTGCTTAAGCATTAAAATACCAATAATAAAATCATATTATTCTATTCATAAACCTTTTTATATTAAAATAAAATTATCTTGTTTTATAAATATTTATAGTAAAATCTATTTCTAGATGAGGCAGCCATGAGATACGTTAACGATGATATAACATTTATATTAAGAAAATTAAAAAATATATTTTTACAGTAATATATTTTGCCCTTTTAATACAAAAATCTAATTGGAAACCCACTATATAATAAATATCCATTATATGCATACCCTCCTTATGTAGATTCCTAGTTCTCTTAGATGTCTATCCCGTATCTAGTGTTGTTAATTGGCTAAGTCGAGTCGACTTAGCCTAAAATCTAGTCAAGTTTTGAGTCGCAAAACTCATTTCAGTTTGAGCGGCTCAATGAGGTACATGAGTCGGCTTCAGTGACGGCTCGATGAGTCGGCTTCAGAGTCGGCTCGATGAGTCGGCTAAGGTTTATTTTGAATCGGCCTGCTATTATTATTTACTTCACGATAAATATTTAAAAAAAATTTAACCCCTATGGTTCGAAAATTTAAATATTTTTAAATTCGAAATGTATTATTTTAAGAATATGACCATGTTATTATTAATATTATCTAAACCCCGACATTTCGCTGATAGATGTCTAAACTTTTGTGCCATCTATGACCACAATCTTAAAGCTTACATAATAGCTTTCTGGATAAAATGTTGAGTTAGCCGTTTTTAAATTGGCTCAAATCGAGCCGTTTAACAAGACTACCTATACAATTATTTATAATATATATAAAAAAGATTTTTTTAAAAAAAATATTCAGACCTGGGTATGATTTTTTTTAAATATATTATAGGGGAGACCGGGGTTATATTGTCCATAAAAAATTGAAGTGCTATAAAAAATAGACGAAGCAATTTTTCCAAAATGTTTAAACATAGTTTTATTCTTTACATATATCTCTATGGTAGAAATAAAAAAATTTATATAAAAATATTAATTCTAATTAAATAAATAGAAATAAATTGTCAAATATGTTAAATTTATTAGGTTCATCTATATTATATGTATTAGCCGGAAGAACTTATTATCACTTAAAACTGTCATATAATTTACAAAAAATAAGTCGATCATCTTCATAATGTCATTCGTGGCCCAAGAAAAACTAGTGGCTTTTAATGTTTTGATAAATTTGGTCGAATTTTTTTTATTCAAGATAATTTCTGCTTAAAAATGGCTAATAGGTACCCCAAACCAAAACCTGCCCCATGTCTTCACAATTAATTAAAATTTAATTTGAAGATAATTAAATTACCACAAATATTGTCAATATTTTTATATATGATAGAAAGGAGATTTTTTTTATCATTTAGAATTTAATATTAAGTCTTAAAACGAAGAAATAAAATATAAATTTTTTAGAAATAAAATGGAAATATAATTTTTAATTTTAAATAAGAAAAAAAATTTTATAATAAAAAAAACCAGATGGGAAAAAATTAGTTATTAATAAATATTAAAAATAAATATAATAATATATTTAAAAAAAAATCCATCATTAAAAAAATAAGGGATTGATTTTATATTTTTGATGACTTAGTTTTCTTTTATTTTTTTAAATCCATCTGGGAAAAATTTTTTTTATAGCTTAACAAACATTTGATTTTTTTTTAAAGTGATGTTTTAAAATATAGAGTATTAAAAGATAATATACAGTGTTGTGATGATTTA